AATATCATAAAAAGAGAAAGTATTACCTGTAACACTTTTCTCAGGTGCTGGAGGGACTATGTATCCCATGCACATGAATTTCTCTGACAGACGATAGTAAAGACCCAAGAAATCACTGAATCTCCTCCTAACAAAGACTTCTGGTTCTTTAAACGAGGGAAGAGTTGTCTTTGTCGTGACGAGATAAGTCATGTAAGCACCCATTCCATCGCCTGGTCGTAAAGAAAGAGAAGAGGGAATATAACATGAGTTGGGATTGAAAGTAACTCGCAAGGATTGTCAATAACTATCTCACAAACCATAAACTAAGCATCATTAAAGGCATTTCTGTCGATAGTACTACTAAAGTATACCAGCTCAATCAGAAATTAACTGCTCTATTGTCCTTGCATGTACAATGTACTATAGTGTACATCTGTCTACATGCATACATGTACAACAATGTTGTCTTTATCAACATGAGCATGTGTAGAGTGCATGCAAAATGAATTAGAGAGTGAATGAGAGTTTTTGTATGCTAGATAAAGTGTTAAATAACAAAAAGTTACTTTAAACCACTAATACATATACATGTACATATTAATGTAAGGCCTCAACTTACCAACTTTCTCAGGTTCGGCTACAGTAATGGTCAGCTCATATTGATCAATATCCTCTTCTTCCTCCTCCTCCTCCTCTTCCTCCTTACTAGCAGGAGCCTCGGCTTCCTACAATAATAAAAGACGAATGAAATATGTAATTAGTAACATGCATATGTGTATTCTGTTAAGGAACTAAGGAAGGTTTCCAGTTGCAACAAAACTCGATGCAGAATTGAAATCTGCATTATTTTGCATTAACTTCAAAACGTTAAAAGGTCATCATCCTGCTTTTTAACTCAAATGTAAATCTTCTTTTACAATACATTTATATGTACAAGTACATGTACACGCTGAGAATAAAACTCGCCAAACCTGTGTAACTGGTTTCTGCTTAGGCTCCTCCTCTCCTTCTTCGTCAAAGAGATCCCCTCCACTCGGAGCTGAGGTGGTGACTGGTTTCTCTGCAGCCGGAGGTACCTCCACTACTGGAGGAGGAGGCTCCGGGTCATCGGGTTCCAGTGTTGGTGGCTCACTGTCAGTGTGTGGGCGTTCAGTGGATGCAGGTGGAGCCTCTGTCTCCTCTTCCTCTCCAAAAAGATCTTCTAGAAAAAAGAAAAGATACAAATAAGGGGACACGCCCACTTTTGCAACAATCGCGCAGTGGGATTCTCACCTTCCTTTTTAGTCTCTTCCTTTTTCGCAGGCTCTGGCTCATCTAATGATGGCTTGCCGAATATGTTATCCTCTGATAATTCGTCGTTATCGTCTGGCGGAGGGCTAGCTTCCACATCCAGAGGAGGAGGTTCGTCGGCCATCTTGTGACAGTGTGGATCACGTGAGCACGTTCTTAATAATATTCATTGAGTAACGATTAGGGCGTGTCAATAACCAATATTCATTACATTTTTGTCCACATTATGCTAAAAAATAAACACGAACACTTACAATGGTGCATAATTTACTCTAATATTTTAATTTACTCTAATATATATGGTTCATATCATTTACTGCCCATGCTGAAAAATAAACATGTGCAATAGTACATAATTTTATAATTATTTTGCTGAAAAAATATCCATTATCAAAAAAAAAAACAAAAATATCA